CCCACAAGTTCCAAGTGATCGTATTAGGCAACACATAATTAATATAGAAATTCCACTCTTAAGATCATTGTACCAGCCCAAGAGATAGGTTTGAAAAGTTTAATTGTGTGTGTGTTGTGCCTTTTCTTGTCATGCGTTCATCAGTTTATGCAATCCTATATGCGTGATTTGGGCCTTTGGGCTATAGAACTTAATTGATAAAATCATATAGAATTACATATTTATAAAGTTTAAAATTTAATGGAATATACGAAGTATTTATTATGACATTTAAATACTCCATGAATATTAAGGTGTATCCATGAAAATTATCTTTTAACGTTTGGGTGTATTAAATCAAACCACTTACAACTGTAAAAGGGTCTTGAATTTTGATTGTCATTAGTTAATATGGAGTTTATGAATTAACTGAATATAAGTTAAAAATTACTGATTTTAAATTACAGTCCCTTTAAGTACTTATTACAATAAATTCCTTTTACAAGTTTATGAAGAAAAAAAAAACTCTGGAATCCTTTCTTTCCTCTCAAAAATTCTAAAAATTCAGATAATGAATCTATATAATCTATTAGAAAGTTATTCACTTCATAAAAAAAAGTTAACCTTCATTTCAACTTTACGAAAGTGCTCGTGGATAAGGGTGGTAAATGAAATAACATTCTTGTGTAATTAGTAATTTTGCAATTTTTCAAAATAAGCTAGCAATTCATAGGTTTTGGTGTCCAATTTTTGTTTGTTATAGATTGAAATTTGTGAAATAGGAACAAAGTAGTCAATCTTTCTAAATTACCATTACAACATAATACGACACGCAATGGCACTACTAAGTACTAACTTACTAACGATGGTGAGATGCAACATGCCAACATGTAAAATGAAAATAGAAGCATTACAATTTTCTGTTTATTCTCATTTTCATTTTTAAATTGCTATAATTTTTTTCTTTTAGAAAATAAAATATGTAGCGGATATTATTCATTTCTTTCTAGATAAATATTAATCATATACTACCTCCGTCCCACTAGAAGGTTCCCATAACAAAACGACACGGTTATTTAGGTGATAATTAAATAAAGTACTTCGGTATATTTTGAAAAATAATTTTAATAGGTATATATTACAATGTGTTAGTATTGATAAGTGATAACTGTGATGTTATAAATGTATTATTTTTAATATTTAATGACTAATTTGTCACCTAAGATTGTTAATTGTTTCCTAAAATGGAAATGAGAACCTTCTAATGGGACGTCTAAAAAAGGAAAGTGAGAACTTTCGAACGGGACGGAGTGAGTATATCATTGCGAAATATTAATCTTATGAGATGCGATGTGTGAAAAAAAGAGAACGTAATTAATTTCGTTCTTTTTTCTGAATAGACTGGTTGATTCTGAGTAAGGTAGGGGTCAAACCAAAAACTTATCTAGCTAAACAATTTTTAGTCGTGGGTCTTTATTCTCATCTAATTCATTTTGTGATGGGTTCCAGACCAGTTTTGGTCCTGTTATATGTAATACGGAGTACATTACATTATTTGAAATGTTATAATAATTCTCAATTGTTTATGCAGTTATGCTATCTCTTCAATTCATTCTTGTTATATATAGTGCATAAAGTATATAACTTTTAAGTCACGAGTTTATTATCCCAAACACTATAAAATAGACTACACTTTTGTAGACATGGGAAAAATATGCAAAGGTTTAAATAGCATCTATGAAAGTTAATTAAAGACTAGTAATCTCCGTAGAAATTACGGATTCAATGGTCTATAAAAGTAATTTAGGGTTCAACTGGATACCTAATCTTTTCTTAATTTGTCACTAATGTAATCTACTTTTTCTGGTGTTTAATTTTTTCTTTAAATTTCGCTTACTTGAGGTTATGGTGCATTTCTGGGTTCATGCGTTCATGAGTGTACCCTATATGCGTGAGTTTGGGGGGGGGGGGGGGGGGGGAGGACGGAGTATATGTTACTGAATTGATAGAGCAAAATTATAAAGTTTAAAGTTGCAGTATTATTTAGTTAAACACATTTAAATACTTCATGTAAATCTGTGAGTTCAATTGAAGCCTGGCCTCTTAAATTTTAGAAAGGTTTTTGAGTTTTTCAAAATTTGGATGTTACAATTTTAAAAGTACTAATGACTTTTAGAAAGTCTTAAAGTTTAAGTTGATTCAATATGGAATTCAAAATGTGAACAAGCTAAGATGTATTTAAGACGCTAACTTTTAAAAGAAAATTTATTACGTAGTAAAAGAATTTAAAAATAGTGCTGCATGTACACAGAAATAAACACCAACACGTACCAAGGTAAAATTATACTCCCTCCGTCCCAGAAAATTCTTCCAACTTTCCTTTTTGGGACGTCCCAGAAAATTCTTCCAACTTCACCTTTTTGATTATTTGTGTGGCTCACATTCATTTCACCTTTTTCTTACAGAACTACAACCACACATTTCCACTTTATTCCCACTTTCTTAAACTCCGATCCAAGTCAAACTAGGAAGAATTTTCTGGGACGGAGGGAGTAACTAAGAAATCGGAGGTAACCGCTTAAAAATTTGATTTCAGCCTTTTTTTACATCTTAATGAAGTTGATTGGGTGATTTTAGAATATGAGGACTTGATTGTTGTTATTTTTATAGAGAAAAGAGTCAAATAAGATCTCCTACTATTATGAAACCATCACATAAAACCATGTGCTCAATAAAGTGTCATATAAATACATCTACTTATAAAAAGCAATTGATTGAGTCCTAATGACCCGTTGACAACCTCTTAATCACGACTTTAGGTCGCATGTCATTATTTTTATCTTATATTTAAGTCAATCATAACTAAATATTTCATGTCAATTATATAATCTATATATTTAAAAAAGATAGTCAGACGCACGCAAAAATCGGGATTACTAGGTTGTCAAAAGGTCATTTTGACTCATCCAATTGCTTTTTATAAGTAGATGTATTTATATGACACTTTGTTGAGTACATAACCTTATGTGACGATATCTTAATAGTAGAAGACCTTATTTGAACTTTTTCTATATTTTTATATAACATCAAGTCTATTTGACTGTAATCTCTATAAATAACTATTTTGGCACAAATAACATCAGTTTTGTTTAAAGTGCAAGAGGGCATGAGGTATGTAACAACACTTTACTACTCAAGTGGTTGATGTATTCGAGAATTAGATGGAATTGATAACATTAGACAAGTACAAGTATATAGTAGTAATATAGAACTATTACATCCTTCATAAAAAAACACAAGTTATAGGAAGGCACAAAGTAGTGGAAAACAAGTGCTGATTAGTTGGAAAGGGAATTTAGATAATTAATACCTTATTCAAATAATTGTATGATGATGGATTTGGAGACCATATCTTAACGAATAGAGCCACACGACTTCATGTGATGTATATTAGGACTTGGAGAAGATTATTATGAGTCATGACTAGTACAAGAGTGGTTCATGTCGGACTTCCATTATTAACTGAAAAAATATTCTCAATCTCATTTCAAAGTTCTCAAACATTATTCACATGGTCAACTCGTTCTTCAAGTACCTTTTGCACTTAGGGAAACTTGTAGCTAGCGTAGTCCTAAATTAAATGATACTCCCTTCATATTTTAAAGATTGATATACTATGTATATAACTTTTACAAATTAATTAAGGAGGAAGGTAATAAAGGGTAAAAACAAGTAGGAAAGAGTGTAAAATATGATTTGTTCACACCGCGAAACAATATAATAACATAAAAAACAATCTATTTCGTAGTAATAGAGATACATTTTCCAAGCAGACAATTCCCTCCATGGAAAGAATGGATAAACATGAATGATAAAAAGTAAAAAAAACAAGAGTAATTCAATATTTTTAAAGGAAAATTTACTAAAAAGAAATATAACGCACCTTTAGTACGTCAGAAAAAACAAAGTGTAACAAATTTTAAAATACAGAGGGATTGTATATTTTCTAAAAGGAGAGCTTTCTTTATATCACTCAATCATTATAAATAATCACACATAGATGTATTGTTCCTTGGGAATCAAAAAGTTTCTTTGGGTATGTTTGGGAGTTGGGTTTTGCACGGGAGGGGATGGTTGATAAGGGCTAAAAAATATGAAGGAATGGTTTCGGAGGCTTTTGTAACCTCCAAAATCATTCAAATGCTCAATTTTCAAGTTCCCATAATTTGGGGATTTTGAATGACAACTAATTAAATGACAACTTTAACTCAATTTTAAATAAATATAAACCCAATTGTTTGAATTCTACACATATATGAAGTGATTTTAATTATAATTAATCCAAAATCTTTATCTTTTCAAACTTGATACTTCCAAACAAGAAGAGGAGTTTTCAACAATTTTCCTCCATTCCCTACTTTCAAAATCTTTCCCCAATTCCCCCTTCCCTTCAAACTACCAAACATACCTTTGGTGATGGAAAAAAGGACATTTTTTTTGGGAATATAGATAGTTAGATACTTATCATACTATTTCACTAATTGTTCATTAATTAAAGATTTTGTCAAAAAGGTGACTCACGGTATCACATTGGGTCATTGGGAATTCTTTGAATTTTGCAAGGCCACCATCTTTAATTTTATAGTCAGGAATTCTGGCAGGTCCCAAACCAATTCATGTTTTGAACAATTGTCCCGGCCCTGCTTTTAACCAGTAAAAAAATCAAATAACCAAGACGGCAAGACCGGATTGTTTGTGTACTTGGCCCGGTTAAAGGTACTGTTTTCAGCGAGTCTACTTCCAATAAGTTCGGTCACGGTTCGGGTGATTTACCTGCCCGGTTCACCGAATCAATATTTGGGTCTATTCCTAGCTAGTGTATAATACGGAGTAATAAATAGCTATGCTTGGTGTACACATGGTTTGTACATGTACACCATGCCTAGTTGTTTGTCTACCAAGCAGATTCTTAACCAAACCAATTGCCTTCGTGGACAGACAACTATGTGTATCAACAACATTTTTGAATAATAAATGTAAGGTAGATTCTATGATTCCCTTAAGATACTCATACATTTGTCCACATGGACCAATCAAAATGATGCAGTTGAATTATTTAAATCTAAATTAAAAATGATACAATGATTTGGACCAATCAAGTGATCGAATGGTAGGTACGGTACCCCATTTTTTAAATGGGTAGCGCAGTTGTCACCTAAATGTAAATGGAATAATTTCCTCTACTTTCCGTTTTTAATACAGCCTGGTATGATTTCATCCCAGACATTCATCAAGAAAAACTAGACATTCATCAGGAAAAACTTGGGAAGAATCGTATCTGTGTGTATGGAATGGCATCACAATATTAAGGCAACTTCATGGGAAGAGTTGTTTATGTTTGTGATAGGACCTTTAAACCAATGGCGGGCACTAAATATCCAGGAAGAAACAACTAGCAGAAGCAGGCCGCCAACTGCCACAGGAGTGTAATTCAGAGTTTGATCTGTAATAGGATAAGCTACAGGCAAGGAGAAGAGCACTGAAATTGTTGCCACCCATAATACAGTGATCCAACCAACGACAACCCCGTACCGCCCCAAGTTAAAAGGTCCCGGGGTGAACGTTTTTCTTGCCAAAGTTACCCTAAAAAAGGATGGCAGTGCATATGCAATATACAGCCCAATTGTTGCTATTGATGTCATGGCTTGAAATGCCACCAAACTTCCAAGCGACTGTTGAGTATTTTTAGCAGTGATTTAAACTTGAGTCAGTACAAAATGTTTCATTATAACAAAACACCAAAAAATGAGAGGAAAAGCATTTAAATATACCGTAAGTGCCATGCAAAATGCTACAAGACTTGATGCCCATACTGCATTAATAGGAACTTCATGCTCATTTACTTTATGCCAGAACCGTGAAAAGGGCATGGCTCCATCTCTTGAAAATGCATAAGCCATCCTGCAATAGTTTACTCCAAAAGAGTTTATGTCTGCATTTAGTACTCATTTCTAGTAACTGAAATCTTTCAGTACCCATCTTTGAGTTTTCACTTTTCGTCATCTAACTATTGTGAGTCAATTTTGGCACTGGTCTATAAATTTTGCCACAGAGATAGGAGGACCAAACATGTCACTGTCACAAAAGTCAGATGGCCAAAAGTGAAAAGTTTCGAAAATGGGTACCAAAAGTCACTCAAATCACAAACTTTCAGAGTACTAAAATGGGGAAGTTTAAAAACGGGTACTAAAAGTCCCTCAAATCACAATAGCCAGATGACTAAAAGTGTGTGGGGGGGGGGGGGGGGGGGGGTTGAACTTGTATTAAATAAAAACTATACGTAGTATTACAATGAAATTTGATTACCAAAAGACGTGTTGTGGTACCTGGAGTTGCTAGTTAGTGAGCTCATGCCACAGAAGTATATGGCGACGGCAATAACACCTAAGCAAACAATCCCACCAACACCACTGCCATATCTACTCTTAAATGCATCATAAAATATTTGAGCTATAGCATATCCACCTGCATCATTATCTCGATTTATAAGATGTGGTATGTCGGTGACTGCAAAAGTTATACCAAGTAGATAACACCATCCAGCTAGAATGGATATGCCAATGGCACTTATAATTCCCTTTGGTCCATTCTCATCTGCATTTTTTGTTTCCTCCGTCTGCACAAAATGATTTTTAGAAAAGCATCAATTTGGCAATTGGCAGTTTGGCACAACAATTTACTCTGGGAGTAAATGCTTCAGATGTCTCTAGATTTTGTATTCTGTTATAAAGCATGGATTAATTTTTCTGTTCAAACGTGTCTATATAAATTTCAATAAACTGAAAAATGTATCTCTAGTACATTGAGTAAATAAATTAGTAATTTTTTCAGTGATGGTCTTAGATCTTTTGGCAATTATTCTATTAGTAATTTTTTCAGTGATGGTTTTCAGTAAATAAATCATTCACACATACCTAAAAAATTAGTAATTTTTTCAGTGGTGGTTTTAGATTTTTTGGAATTTGTTTTATTATCTTTTCAGTAAATAAATCATTCATGCACACCTAAACATTTTTTTAAGTTGAGTTTATCTTGAAGGATTCTTATTTTTTATACATCTTGGGTCAGTTGAGTGTGGAGTTGGATCCTTTCAAAGTTTCATTTGCAGTTTTGCACATATCTCAGTATCTCACAGATTATACGTAGTATAAGGTAATTGACCACCTTTTTGTAATTCCTCTCTTTCACTTTTTTATCTTTTTGCAAAAACACTAGATTGTCAGGTGAGGTGGTTTAGGAAAATCGCTAATCATCTGTACAATGAAAAAAGCTTAGGTATAAATTCTTACAAGAGGGCCCTGCATTTGATCCAATTTATTCAGCGAGTTCCATAATTTTCTTCCCACTTTCCTTTTTACTGTGTGCCAAAATTTTCTTTTCATTTGATTTTAGAGAATTGTTTTTGTGGATGATATTATTTCTAATCTTTATATGTGAATCACAATCATATAATTTCACTTTCTTATTAAGTGTGCCCAAGTCAAACTGGGACTGATGGAGTATAATTCTAAAGGCATATATGCAAACTACACTCACCATATGGGCAGAAGCATCATAGCCTGTTAATGTATACTGGCTCATAAGGAGCCCGAGGACAAATATGTAAACTTTGCTATGAATCCCATCAGTGCTTTCTGTGTTGAAGTTAGTAAATACAAACTTGGCACTTGCTCTTTCTGTGGCAACAGTGGGGATCAAAATCATGAGAAGAAAGACACCTGAAATTTGAGTATCGAATAGTTCTTCATTAAATATTTATTTAAACCTCGAGATTTATTTTAATATATATACACTAACACACACATATTCTGGGCTGCTTTATTAAGTACCTAAGATATTCCACGCAGCAGCAAATTGCCCAAGGAAGGACAATAATGAGATGGGAAGACTATTTAAGAAGGCATGTGAGAGAAGAATTCCTGCATGCATAGCAATAACAACATACTTGGAAGGTTCATAACCTCCTCCATTTTTCCCACCTGTCCCGAGAAGAATCATCACCTGAATCAACTGTGCAAGCGAAAAATCTACACTTGTCGTTACGGCCCACTGCAAACAGTTTTAAAGTTACAAGTGATACTACATAGTTTCATTACAGAACGAAGAAGGCATATACCCCATGCAAAAATACCTGACCAACAACATTGAACCTGCATTGCAGGAAGAAAAAACAAATATAATTTATGTTGCAAGAGTATATGCATGAACACAAACATGGCATGATGTTCGCCGCTATAGACTAATTATGAATGAGCTTTGGAACATCACACACCAAAATATATAGACCCTACAGGCTTGTTTAATTTATCAGTAGTGTATGTGTATTGGTTTAAACTAGAAATAACAATACGGTTATAAAGATCGATCATATAATGTATTCTATGTAGTCTTTTTATCTTTACTTTATTTCCAGTCAGGTAAATGTAGTCTTAACAATACGGAGTATTATATACTTCCTCCAGTCCCAAAAGAACTTCATTTTTTGACTTCACGTTTTTCAAGAAAATGGAATTTTTTCGTTTTGACTTTCTCATTATGCCTCCAAAAAGTAGATAAAGTGTAGTGGGAGAGAGAAATTGGATGTAAAGTAGGTAATAAAGTAAGGGTATAAGGGTAACTTTATATTAAAAAGTTGCCAAAAATAAAAGTGTGAAGTTGTTTTGGGACCGGAGGGAGTAAAAAATAAATACCACTCTTTATCTTCCCTCCACCTGAAATCCTCTAACCAAGCATGCCCCACGGACACCCCTTGTTGATTAGTAGCATTCATTGCATTGAGCTAGGAAGAAGCAAGTGCAGATATTTTGGCGTTAAAATACAAGGAGAAGGTACATATATACCCTTAAACTATATCCAAGAGAACAAACATACCACTCAACTTTCATTTGGATAATTACACACAAAAATTGTAAAGTTAGAACAAATATATGCTAGTGCAGCACTTGTTCCGCTCTACCTCTGCTCATCTCTTTACTTAGTGCCAATACTACTTTATATACACAAAATATAGAACACTCATATAAGTGTATAGGTAGATATTGTATATATGATGGGGTTGAATGAGGGTTGAGGGGGGACTGCCCCCTCAGCTCCCCTTTGGATCCGACACAGCGAACAAGCAGTCAAGTACAACATTTATATTATGGAGAATCATGTAAATCAAATGTTAAAAAAAATTAACCAAGACAAATATTAGTTAGTATGAGAACTGAATTGCAAAACTAAAATTTTTTGTTAATGAGAGACAAATATGTTCAACGAAAGAGCAACTAATGAATTCATGGAACCATCAAACTTTAATGCAGCTAAGTTTCTGCCTGATAGCAAAGATCTCGACAGAAATTTGATCTTGTTTTGTTACCTCATGAATTCATGATCCCTCTGTTCCAAAAATAATTTCTAGGTTTGACCTACACACATGTTTATGCAAAAAAAACTGATTTGACTTTCCAGGATAACCTTTATTTTTTGTCAAATTGCACAAAGTAAGGATCATAATTACATTTGCCCATTAAATATTTTCTTTTTATAAAAATAAGAACTTCATTCTGGACATCCAAATAATGAACATGAAAACAAGTTTTCCGGATGGAGACAATAATATTTAGCCACGTGGAACAAAATCTTCAAAAGCAAACCACGAGACTAGTGAACAAAGTTCTTTCAAGCAAAAAAAGGTACCCAAGACTGATTAATACCAAACTTACACTACTAATCAGTAACCATACGCTTCCCACTACAGTACTCAATGCACTTGTTTACTACTCCGCACTTTCAGGTAAAAATCTTGAGATTGAAGAAAAAAATCACTAGTAAAATAAAAGTATATAAGATAAAACCAGAAAATTACCAGCCGGTGATCCAAGAAGCAAAAGGTGCCCAGCTTGGACCGGCAAGTTTGGCGCTCCAGTAATAGAGCCCCCCAGAAGTGGGATAAGAAGAGCAAATCTCAGCCATGGACAGCCCAACAATCATGGTCAAAGTACCGACAATCAGCCATCCATAGATAAATGAAATCGGGCCTCCAGAATTCAACCCATTGCTGTAGAGGGTGTTCAACCCCGTGAGCACAGAGACAACGCTGAACGCAAACGCGAAATTCGACAAGACCCTGCAAATGCCGATCTATTAGTGGAACGAATCGAAAGCTTGAGCTCGGATTTGAAGAAATTTAGTGAAGGAAACATACGAAAGATCGCGCTTGAGTTCTTGCTTGTATCCCAGCTCATGTAAACGAGCATGGCCGGAATCGACCGAGTCCTGGATGACCATATTGTCTCGTCGCGGAAAACCCACACAGAAGCAGTCGAAGGAATCTTTATGTCAAAAGCTCACCATTTTAGCTCGCCTTCTTATGATTCTCTCTTCCAGTTTTCTGGGCACTTGGCCTATCCGATAGGGTCAGCTTTCGTTAATGTCGTTACATAGTGACCGAAAAGCTTGAAAATGCAAAAATAAAGTCAAACACATGGCTAGAGGGCTGATTGAGCTGTTGTTTCTTATAGTCAAAAATAAAGTAACAAAATAGTTACTTTTTGAGCTGAAAGTTATTAATCTGCAGTTGCAAATCTAAAATACCTTATTACCCTTTTATTTTACGCTTAATAATACATTTCCGCTTCTTGGCTTTACTATGAGCCCGTTTGGTAGCACCAAAATCGGCTGTTTTGACTGATTCTGCTGAAATTTATGATATTCTGGCTGGAGTGGCTGTTTTGGCTGATTCTGCTGATTTAAGAAAAAAATATTTTAAAAATATATTTTATTAATAAATTAAAGAAAAAATTATATGTAAAAATAGCTAAAATGGTCCTCTACAGTAACTTCAGCCAATACAGCCAGAAAAGTAACTCCAACCATACTTTTTCAGCTTATTACACAATTCAGCGCGCGAAAGTAAAAGTTACGTGTTTGGTGAAAAAGCTGGCTGATAAGCCTGATAAGCCGAAAACAGAGTTCTCCAAACGGGCTCTATGTCCTTCCACATCGATGATGAGCTCTTCCATGAATGCGCATAGTTTTGCCCTTGCAGACTTGCAGTACGAAGACTCTTCTGCTTGACTGTGCCATAGTTTTAGCCTTCCAGATTGATGAATTGCAGCTTGGTTTTTCCATAAAAAAATCATATTATCTTCTTCTTCAATTGTGCGTTGCCCTCTATACCAGATTGACGAATTGTTGCTTGTGCTTATTTCAAGTGTCATACGGAGTACAAATTATGATGGAGCTTGAGGGTTGTTGCCTGTTGGTTGATTTTTAAATGTTTATTTAGCTGTATTGTAAGCAAAACGAGAGAATACAAAACCATGATATGTTCACTTGAAATTGGTTGAACAGAGATGCACTGTTCTTTTTGCATTTTGGGGCTTTGGTGGTTCTAGCTCATTTTTTATTGACAGAACAGAGATGCGAGTGTAAGGTCAGGTAATGGTCAACTGGTCATATATTTAGCACAAATAAGCATATGGCCTTTATAGTAATTTTACACTCAATAAACCATTTCAACCAATATATTAACAGACACTTTCACTTCATCAAATTCAGTCTTTTCAGTCTTTTCAACCATTCCAGCCAATTCAGCCGTTCTAGCCAATATAATTTGATCTATTATTACTGTACTTTCTTTATTAAGATAACATATACTCCTCCCTATATGTTCGACACATTTGTAAAATTATTTGATATGTTTGACATTGTTTTGTTTAGTGAAAAGGATTTTTATTTAGCTTAGGGACACTCGAAAAGGAGAGGGAGTTTTTGTTTAGGGACAAAGGGAAACATATACTCCGTAATTTAAAAATAATTCAACTTACATGTTACGGAGTATTAATGAGACTTGATTTTTTCACTTAATCATCGTAGAAAATAATTAAAACTAAGTTATTCACTGAAAATGGTACGCCTTTTGATTCTGATCACAATAATTCCTACAATGTTTTAACTTAGATATCTTAAACTTAAGTAGAAATTACAAAAATAAAATAGTACCTATTCACCTAAATACGGAGTATATTCACCAAGCATAGGCTATTTTTACTTTTTTTTTATTTACCATTTTAAAAGAGCTTTTGCAATTTTTAATCCTCCGACTGTTATGTCATTCACATTTTTGGTCCTCGGTTTTAGAGCCCGTTTGGTAGCACCAAAATCAGCTATTTGGGCTGATTCTGTTGAAATTTATGACGTTCTGGTTGAAGTGGCTGCATCGGTTGATTATGTTGATTTACGAAAAAATTATTCTTGAAATATATTTTATTAATAAAATAAAGAAAAATATATATGTAAAAATAGCTAAAATGGTCATCTACAGTAACTTCAGCCAATACAGCCAGAAAAGTAACCCCAACCTTACTTTTTCTGCTTACTACACAATTTAGCGCGCGAAAGCAAAAGTTGCGTGTTTTGTGAAAAGGTTTGTTGATAAGCCCGATAAGCCGAAAAACAGTGTTTCCAAACGGTCTCTTAATTTTCTTCACTTTTAGTGCTCGGCTATTTTGTTAAAGATACTTTTGGTACTTGTCTATGAACATTTCCATATTTAGCCCTCCGACTTTCGTAAGAGTGATATTTTTTATCCTTCAACTATTAAAAGTAACATTTTTAATCATCTACTTATTGTGTCAAAATCATAATGTGAGAACTAAAAGTGTCGATTTGATAATACTCAAAAACTAAATGTGGGAAACTTTGAAGTCGGGAACTAAAAGCACAATAGTCGAGGACTATAATTGAAAACCATTAAAATGGAGTACCAAAAGCATCAATGACACAATAGTTATGAGCGAAAATGGAAAAAACTCAATTCTGAAACATACTAGTAATAGTCAAGTACTCATATCTAATTCACAGATACACTATACACACACATTTCATATTTGAAACAAATAAAAAATGTGTTGAATGTGTGAAGTGTAGATACCACTCTTACTTTTCTATGTTGCCTATGTTGAACAATGTGCACTTCTGGTGGGGGGTGGGGGTGGGGGTAGGGGTGGGGACCACTCTTTACAAAAAAAATGATGGTGCTATGGGAATTAAAACATCATAAACTGATGATAAAAGACGACTTTCGTAATTCTATTTTGAAAAAGAAAACATAGAGGGACCGGGAAAATTAAAACACATGCACGGAGAAGGCCATGTATCTGATTTGGTTAATTTAATCCTCGTTAAGGAACCAACACAATACTTTTTTTTTGGATGAAAGAACCAACACAATACTTTAACTAGATACCCGAAATGAGAACCAGGCCATTCGAGCGTGGTCTTCCTGTCATAGCATGATGGTGATTCGAGGGAGGGACGCATGATCAAGTGAAGCTGATGTCACGTACCCTATGTCTAAAGAATATGTTGAGGGTTATTCCTTCAACCTTTAGACCCAACACGTAAGCCCAAAGATTTCGAATGGAATGTGTGAGTAACTAGCCCAACAAGCAGATAACAGGGGTCAAGAAACAGTAAGGTAGCAAGTAAGTGATTAGGTATTATTATCTCTTAATAACTCCCTAATACAATACTTTTCGCTAAGGCTCCGTCGGCCGTTCGTCTTACTAGACAGTTAGAAGTGCTGCGAGTAAGAATGCTATAGCTAGAGTGCTAAGAATAGAAAGTTGTCAACCCTTTACAATGAAATAAATGCTTCTATTTATACCCGCCAATGGGCAGGTGGCTATGCTGACGTGGAGGCCTGTGGACCGCTTGTGCCCCAACCACCAAATCTTCAGCATTAAATGCACTTCCCGCCAGAATCTAGGTTTCCCGCCTAAATAATGGGGACGTTCGTCCGCCTGGGAAGCGAGATGGATCGCTCCAAGTGATCCTCAAGAGGTTTCGGCTGTTCGTCTCCTGGCCTTGGGATGTGGACTGGATTTCCTCGGATGACTATAGGCTTGCCATGGGGACGTCCGTCGTCATCCCCTGGTAGCCCGTGGTCCTGCTCCTTGTCCCTGCATAGACGTTCGTCGGGATGGGCCGCTGGGCCTGAACTCCCAACCTCAGACGTTCGTCCCTCCCCAAGGAATATGGGCCTGCGGGCTGGCCTTGTGGTTTGACTGGACGTACGTCTGGTGAAGAAAGGGTTAGTGGGCCGGACCCCGGTTTGGGCCCTTAACCCAACAGAATATTACATTAGATTTTTTGTACTATTCACGTATTCTACTTTGACTATATTTTATTTATTAATATATTATAAATTAAATTTTTAATAAATATTGTTAAATTCATCTCATTCTAAATTTTCAAAATGTGTTTTTTTTTAAATTTTTACGAATAAGAAATGAAATATATTAATGGTCAAACTTATGCGTTGGCAAACGTGAAATGTTGACTGTTGCAAGTAAAAGGGAACGCAGGAAGGACATAGATTGGGTCGTAGAACAAATTTTGTCAATGACCAACTGCAAAATTTAAGTACAAAATCGGTTCGCCAATAAAAAATACACAGATTCTTGGCATTACTACGGAAAAACATACGACTATTATATAATAGAGGAGAAGCGGTAGAGTTTTCTTCTCTCACTAATATTAATAACCAATTAGCATTTTAAAAAGAGTGTGATCAAAACATTACGAGCCCATTGGTAATACCAAAATCGGTTGTATTGGCTGATTCTGCTGAAAGTTATAAAGTTCTGGCTGAAGTGACTGGAGTGTCTGATTCTGCTGATTTATGAAAAAATTATAATTATAATATATTTTATTAATAAAATAAAGAAAACATTTTATGAAAAATTAGCTAAAATGATTTTCTACAGTAACTCCAGCCAATACAGCTAAAAAAGTAACTTCAACCTTACTTTTTCTTATTATCACACAATTCAATGCGCGAAATTAAAAGTTACGTGTTTGGTGAAAAAAGTGGCTGATAAATCTGATCAGTCGAAAAAGAGAGCCATCAAACATGCTCTACATTCTTTAGGATTTAGGAAGAGAGAATTTAAGAGAGTTGAATACCATATCTTTTCATTATACGTTATGGGGATGGGGTAATTCATCATGCATGTCATGGTGAGCACATGAAGGCCAGGATGGATATTGGGGTATACTAATTCATATATTGCTCACATCTATAAAGTTGACTAGTTTGAACTTTGAATGATTGAAAACTTCATTTTGTCCTCTCATGGAATGGATACAATGAGAGTGGACGAGTGGTCAAAGGAAGCGGCTGATATATATGGGAAAACATGCATTAGTTACAACAAACCAAAAAGGGTCAAGATTAATGAAATGTTGTCGTCCAACACATTTATATTGAAACTAGCGTTTCATTGCCCAAGGCGCAAGAACCTTTGCCCAATACTGAAGTAAAGTTCTTGTGTGCAAATAAATATTATACTCCGTATGTGATTTTGTTGAAAGATATAAATACTTTCATTGAACAAGCTAGAGAGTCGTTATTAGTAAAATATACATAGTATATGGAGTACTCCTGATGGATAGTCTACCCGGGGGGTAT